GCAATAAAGCCATGCTCATACATTCTGCCTGCTTAGACTTACATATTGAGATGTTTCTGACATTCCTTGCTGTTTCTGTGCAAATTTATAACAAAAGGAACAGTTTTTTATTCGTCCAACTTTCGAAAGTAAAAGGAAACCCCTGAACGGCCACGAGCGTAAGCGCTGATGTCAGATAACCAAGGGAAATAGAACAGGCAATGAGAAAGTGATGGACCAATCAGAACACCGGATTCGTTACTAGTTACCTGCCTCTTGTGGCTTGGTACGCCATGACACTTGAGGCGGGAACCAGCCAATGTTATATGACGCCTTACTAACCGATTTTGGCTAAAATAGCGCCCCGCCGCATCTTTACACTTAGTATTTATACACACAACTTGATATTTTTTTCATTTTGCTTTTTAATCACGTATGTTAGTGAAATATTGTTTAGTATGTGAAATATTGATGTCATAAATAATTCACTCTCGTAAACAACAGAAACTAACACATAATAACGACAATCAAATTTGTGTTTGAAGTTAGAAAGTACTTGAGTAATTTCCGGTTTCAACTAGTTCGAAAATAGAACGTCGTTGAACGCGATAAAATCACGCGTAGAACGCTTTCCGAACCAGAGACTAGCAGCGTAAACTTATTGCAAATTTGCGCAATTCGGGCCAAGTTTGTTCTTACAAGTTTTCTAAGTTTCATTTATCATTATTTAGTAAACAGGTCCCTGAAACGATTTAATATTTCCGTAAAATACGTGGCAATCGACGATTGACTTCGAAACGTTCGAAATTTCGAACAAACTCCCGGCACACCTTGCGCGATATGCGTCAGATCGGTGTAGAAGTCGCCGACCTGCAGCGTCAATGTAGTTACCTGCCTCTTGTGGCTTGGTACGTCATAATTCTTGAGGCGAGAATCAGCCATCTTGTGTTCCTCACGGGATAAAAGCCATGCTGTCGATGAGGGCGTACTCATCACACTCGTACGTTAGTTCATCCATCCTCACTGGTTTTGTTCGTTTCAGATTTGAAAATAGACATTGCTTTGACACCATCTACCAAGTCTACTTCAATTGAAGCTCCGCCAATCACCGATAGTATTTGACTGTTTGAACCCATTTTTAGCTGTGAATCGATGTATGATATATCGTATGGTATCTACTAGAATTATTGACATGGTATTGCTGTATTGTGCTTCACTTTCTTAAATGCTATAGTATGTTCTTTTCAAATTCTCCAATACATAGCATGTAATAAAGAAAATGACTAAACCGATAGTGTTATAGTCTGATCTGTTATAAATAATAATATACACGATTTCCTGTTCGATGTCCGTGTATGTTTATGCATATTTTACCTCTATGGTATAGGCGAGAGAACCACCACGGTTATGAGGCTGTGTAAACATTTTTCTTGAAGGTTTTTCATGGATATGCGAACATACTGTAGTGATTTCCGTGGTATTCATTATGTCACAACCAGCGGCTGTCAATTATCAATTTGTGTGGTGACTTTTCTTATCCATATCGATGTTACAGTTAGCGATGCTGAATAATGTACATAACTCGATGTGGCGTCAATAATGAATAGAAATCTGATCCGAACTCAACCAGTGGTTTTGATCGCCCCGTGTCATAACCGCAACAGTCACAACGTGCACGAATCCACTGGTTACAACAAAGGTTGCATAGAGATTCAATCATAAGTTTAATTCAGGATTTACTGATCATCGGACCGCCACAGACACCATAAGCAACAAGCAAAATGCGATTGCCGAAGCGCTAGTGATCGCGTGACACAGCTAAATGAGAATATTAACTAATTTGCGATGAGTTTGGAGTTTTTCCCGAACACCGACTGGAGGCAATTTAGGTTAGGACACCTTTACTATACTTAGATATTACACTGTAGATAAACGGTGTTTAAGGATGTACAACACGCTGCATGTGGTAATCCAGCCTGAAATACATCTGTTCACTTAGAAAACTTCACACAGTCTAGCGTTTAAAATCTGTCAAACAGTTTGCCTGTTCCATTAACTAACCTGCATCTATTTCCGTGTGTGCAGAGCAGACACGGGATGTCGTACTGATGATGGTTTTCCCATATGTGTGTGTCTGTGCACATTCGCACATAAAAACAAGTTACATATCCTTATCACTATTATAACTTTATTGCTAGCTCAACATGAATCATAGAACAACACTCAAATATACACTTCAAAGTTGTTTTATCTATACAAATTATTGCTATAATTACAAAAAAATAAGCATTTAACACTCACTAAATAATTGTCAGTCTTAAAAATACGTCGAATGAAGCTATACACCATCTCTTGTGAAAAGGAAATATTATAAAATATTTCTATGTAGACGGCTACTACTTGCTCGTTTGTGCTTAAAAGTCAACCTGATAACATTAATATAAGTTCGAATCCGGCATTTGTCTGGTATTGTAATCACAGCACACATGTAATCTATAGCCATTTAAAAAAAATATTTGAAAAAAAAATGTTTACGTTCTCTAATCAATACTAGAAGTTAAATGTTTGTTAAATGTTTACATTATTCACCATTGCATAAATACACCTATCTCTGTATATTAGCACCATTGTTTTATATTGAGGACATAATATAATCTAAATAGGATGTCACATTAAGTACTGACATATAGATAGTCATAGTTTCTGTTTCCAAGTAGTTGAAAATAAACATATATTCTATCTTTTCGGTGTGTATGGGAACTACACTAGATCATTTTCCTATTGGTTTGGGTATGGACACTAAACTAAAGAGTTTTTCTGTCGTTTTTTTTTCTGTTGGTTTGGGTAGTGGCACTACACTGGAGCGTTATTCTGTTGGTTTCGGTAGGAGCTCTATACTTCTATTTTGGAACGTATTTCGTCGGAAATATTTTTTAGTTTTTGCTCCTCAAGTGCAATTATCAAGGCGCCCACAGTTGCACTCGCTCCACTTCTATTTCTCCACATACGAAGCATTTGGTGGATTTGTTCTCTCTTCTGGTTCGGATTCCGATTTTCAATACGTTCAATGTCTGGGTCCGTTATTTGTAGTTCTCGCCGTGCAAGATGTTTCCATTCGTCGCTCATCAGATTGTCAACAGTGATATTAATAGCCCTGTCTAAATCTGTTAAGGCAATTCAGTATTTCATATAGTATTGATTTCATTTTATATTATTTACAATATAGGTGCTCACAAATACATAATTAAAACAGGATAAATAATAATTGAGAACATCGCTATTTATTTATTTAGAAACTCACAAAATGATATAAAAACATACCTGTTGGTTGCACTTCGACTGTTTCATTTTCCGCTTCCTAGATAAATAAAACAGAAAGTACGTATTTTATGTGCATGCCAACTGAAAAAAATTCCTATAAGAGATAATGCTACATATTTTTTATCAATGAATGACATATTCTCAATACTATGTATTTTATTCCGTGTTGTGTTGTGTTGTCTTGTGCCGCTGTTGTTGTTGAAACGGAATCAAATACCTGATCTAATTCGGCGATTCCAAATCGCAGCTCAGTGATAGGTTCTGTGCTTGAACAATACCGCAGATAGAAAAAGAGCTGTTCAAGTTTCTGCTGCTTCCTGATAATTTTGATATGACCAACAGCCTCATTTTTGACACGCTTTTCAGGTTTGACTTTCAGACTAATAAAGTTATCATCATCTAAATGAAACCTTAACGTTCTCTTCTCGTTAGTAAAGGAAAACCCGTCACTAATTTCAACACGAATACTTTCATCAATTGCCATATCCACGTCTTCACTAGACGACACACTGTCAAAATAAGAATAATATCCATTGGCTATCTCGTGATTAATCTTCTCCGTTATTTCCTCTTTCTTTACAACGCTAAGGCGCATGCAATACGGCCTTCCTTTGAGCTGCATCAAGAGGAATTTAACCTTGGTCACTGGATGTATGAATTCTTGGTCCACATGTATCACGTGTTTAGAGATTTCACTACGCGCCAGATGTATTGGAGCTTTAGATATCAAACATCTGTTGAGAATAAAAACGTAATGTTTCTGAAAAACTGCATCCAACTTTTGCCAATGGCTGTAAGTGATATTTTTGGTTGAAGAAGCATTGCATTAAATATTATTCTAAGCTTGTGTAGTGATCTTCGTATTGTAGGGAAAGGAGTATGCGTTCTAGTAAGGACTCGTGTTCAACTGATTATAGGTTGTCTGTGGCGAATTGTGTATTGGTTATACACTTACACAACAAGTATTAGAATAGCATAAGATGAATTTTTGTGACGTTTTTCATAATTATTAGGCCACGAATCAAACCCCTGTATTTGCAAGAAAAACCTCATAATATAATAATAATAATAATTATTAACCAGACATCAGTTATCTATTGTTCAATGACGCAAATTGAAAGACAAATTACCCATAAATAAAATGTCATAGCTCGTATGTTTTATTTATCACAGAACGTATTACGTCAGCCATGTACAATTACATGACTACACTCACCTCTGTGGCATAAAGTCGGAATGAATACTGACATGGCCTTTTGATAATGATACTTTTCTTTCTGTATAATCTTCCCACTTTTGACTGCATCTTTTCACATAAACATGAATTTTGGTTGTAACATTTGATGAACTACTTGGTATCGGTAGGATTGTGGTCAGACTACGAAATCTAGTCTCATCTTCGCCCTCATGATTTAAGTGCAACAGTGGGCTGAACGTGATATTTGATTCAAATGCAATATTTACAGCACGAAGACTTGGATCGGTATTATGTATCTAGGGAGGAATTGTCCGTTTTAGTTCACAAAACGTATTTAATATTAATGGTCATATACATATGCGTTTGTCTCTACTGGTGATATGTTCATAGTCATGTTATGTCATGTTCTGTAATATTATTTAGCAATAGGTAATAAACCTGAAATGAAACAGTTCCTTTGTATCGAACAAACACACACCACAATTTGCTTAATGATACATAATATAGTTTACAAACAAAATATTTGTCAGTCTGTCATTTCGAACAAAATCAAAACGGTCGATATTATTTTCAAGAATAGATGAAAGATTGAAACGTTTTTTATTGTATAAACAATGAAGAGTTGTGGATACATCTGAATAAGGAAATAGTAAAATTCTGTTATATTAATCCAATGGTTGTTACAAAGTGTGATTTTCGGCGATTCGAACTTAACGAAATCTGGCATTATATTGGTTAGCTGTTCAGCAGAGCCTATAGAGTAACGGCAATGGCATATGTTGTAATCAATTACTGGATATGTTTGCTCACCTGCATTGTAATCGATTCATTCCTGTTATCCCTTGTGGAATTTCGTGCGAAGGTAACCGATATATCCTCTGACGCACTTGACACAATTGTTCCACCAGCTGCTGGAACATTGAAATTTTCCCGGCGAGGCGCAGAGATAACAACAAACATACCAAACACGCGTGTATCACTTTTGATGACATTATTATTCTGTCCCCCAAAAAAGAAAAACAGGCAAGGCGAATATAATACATTACAATATTCGATCTGTATCTGAATACGATTTACATACACCAACAGGATATAGTCATGATTCTAACAAGATTATATAATAACCTGATCAGTTGAAAGTTTTTCCCAATGCTGGCCTTTGTCATCACTGTGATATATATATCCTTGTTTTGTATTATCTTTGGGGAAGGTGTGTAATAAAACAACAGGTTTTTTTAGCGGCGGATGTGTAGGCGATATTTCGATAGTGTCCGAAGCAATTTGATGGTACGGCTCAAGTACACTTGGTTTAACGTTAATGCTGGACGTGACTGTAACTCGCGTCTTTTCCACAACCGATTTGTTGAGGACCTTCAACCTGAATCCATCAAGCAAATCAATATATGTATCATCCTTAAAAAAATCAAATATATTAGGAAACTCGTAGTAACTCGTTAATATCATACCATACAATCGAATTATGAACAATGTTCTTCACAATATGCATTGGTATTAGCTGCAAATCTGTATTTATCACATAAGTCTGATCATGAATGTGCGACCTACCTGACAAGGTTGTAAGGTAAATACAAGCTGTTGTTTTTCTTTTTCTACAGAGATGGAAACAAGAAAAAATAGTTATATGCCATAAACCTTCTACTCTCAGCTTACAGTGTATATTCACTGATAAAAAGATATAATGTAATTTAACATTTCGTTATGACATGCTTCTATATACTATGTAAATTTGAACTTCTTATACCTTTGTTGTTCCAGTACTCTATTATTTTATTAATTCCAAGATCACAGACATCTGCTGGTGGTTCTCTCATGCTGCTGTTGCCGCTAGCGTCGATATATTTTAAGTTGTCAATGTGTACAATAGTCCGGGGTAATTCCATCAATCTGTTTCTCTGTATATACAAGCTTTGTAAATTCGTCATGTTATCGATCTCTGGGGGCAAGTGCTCAAGTTCATTATTGGATATGTCCAATTCATGTAGCTCTGTGAGGTGCGTAATTTCACAAGGAACTGTTTTGATCTCATTATTTGATAAATATAGCTCTTTAAGGTTTTTTAGAATTCTTATTTGCTTTGGAATCTTCTGTAATTTATTGTCGCTAATGTCTAGTACAGTTAATTCGAGTAAGCTATCAACAGATGGAATACTAGTTAATTTGTTATGTGTTAAGCGTAGAACTTTCAAAGACTTCAGATCGAGTGTTATGGATGGGTCATCATTTATCTTATTGGTCAATTGGCTAGCCTGAGACACAGTGTTTGGAATGGCCACAAGATTGTTGTGAGACGCATCTAATTCTTTTATATTTACAAGTGAAATATGCATTGCTGTCAACTTATTATGGTTCAGATTTAAAGTGACTAAATTTTCTAGGTGAGACAAAACAGATGGGTAATTCTCAAATGAATTGTCCGCCAAATTTAACGATTCCAAGCTTGTCAAGTTAGACACCTCTTCGGGCAGTGTGTCTAGGTGATTAGATTTCAAATTAAGTTTCTTCAACTCTGCAAATCTACCTATAACACCCGGCAGTTTCTGTAAATCTCTATTTGCAAAGTCAATGTCAGAGGTGTCTTCCTCTAATCTTCTCAATGTTTCTATATCTGCAATAAAACACATTAGTTACCACGCTCGAATCTAAATAAACTAAAACTAAACATAAACTAGGAATGGCCATTATAATGCCAATATTTATGACGCAAACATACCTAGTTCATCCCACATCTTCTTGATAGCATTTTGACCTTTCATACATACATTTTTACATACATCAGTTGAAGAGACGCCAGTTTTGATACCAGTGACACATATAGAGTTCAATTTGGAATTTCTGTTAATTATTCGTGGTGAGATAGCAACTGTTGAACCGTTTTGTTTTAGACGACTCAATTCAGCAACAAAATCTGAAAATTAAACACGTGAGATTTAGTAATAATTTTCACAATCAACTGACCACGAAGTTAATCTGATCATTGTTTAGACTAAAATATATCCTGCATATAACGCAAATTTACTACAACATAAATATAAGTGAACTTACCCTTCAATGGAGTGTCCTGTTGGTTTTCAATCAATTGCAGTTTAATGATCTGCAGTTCCAATAATTCTGCAGGCAGTTCAGTAATTATGTTGCCATCTATGCTCATCTCTTCTAGTGATTTAAGGCGTCCAATGGTGGATGGGATAGACGTCATATTATTTCCAGATAAATAAAGCTTAACCAATTTCGTCAACTTGGAGATGGCAGGAGGGAATTCATTGAACACATTGCCAGATAATTGCAAGATTTGCAGCTCATGAAGTTCTCCAAACTGAGGTGGAAGCTCCTTTAGATTATTGTTTCGAATGTCCAACAATGTAAGCTCTCTTAATTTGCAAAGCGGTTCTGGGATGTTACCGATTTTGTTATTTGAAATATGAAGTTCTTTTAATCTGTTCATGTTTCCTATCTCTTTTGGTATGCTGCGAATTTTATTCTCACATACATCTATTATTGCTAGACGCTGAAGATTACAGATTCCTGGAGGGATTTCTTCAATGTTGTTGCATGATAAATTCAAGTGATAAAGTTCCGAAGCACTGCATAGTTGCAATGGGAAATTCTTCAGTTTTGTATCTCTCATGTTAACATGCGTCAATTTACTAAGATTCATTCCAATATGGATGTTTTGAAGGCAATTCTGAGAAATATCAATTTGTTGAATATTCTCAAGATTATCTGGGAATTCGGTGAGATTATTGCGACTGAGATTGAGTATTTTGAGATCACTGAAAGAGCCAGGAAGGTCAATGAGATTGTTGTTGGATATGTCGAGGTTTTCTAATTGTGTCAATTGACACATTTCCAAAGGCAAATATGACAGCTTATTCCTGGAGAGATCCAGTTGTTGTATATGTGTGTATTGACTTATAGATTTTGGTATGTACGTCAAATCGTTTTGCTTGAGAGAAACTTTTTCTGAGTTCGGTTTGACGTTCTTTAATAGTTCTTGATCTGTATATATTGAAAGAAAAAATACAAATTCTTACTTACAGGTGGTCATTGAACACAAATCGAGCTTACTTACAAGTTATAAAATTATTTAGATTTCACAATAAATTATAGTGGTTGTAATGGATTTCATGTATATACAAGCATTTTCTTTAGAACATTTGTCGACATATTTGAAGTGGACTCTTAACAAACTGTCTAAATTGCCTTAATTATAAATGTAATATGACATTTGAGAAGGTTGCATGAAGAATAGTAAATTGCGGAATCAGTAGTAATATAAAAGCTAATATGATAATACACAAAGTCACCTTACCCTTTTTCTGCCAATATTTTTGAAGGCCTAAAATTCCTTCATTACAGATCACCATAGGCGGTTCTCGTATTGGGTTGTCATCGATGACTAATGTGGATAAACTTGATAAGTATCCTATCTCTCGTGGAAGAACTTTAATTTGATTTCTCATCATCTTCAAACTTGTTAGCTCACGCAACATCTCTGTAAAACACGGCAATTACTTTTACAATACATTAGTGTTAATTAGATATTAACAGGGGCAGCGGAATTACAAACTGATGTGATTTCGACATTCTCTAAAAGTTATTTAGAATGCTTGTGTAACAACCCGATGATGAACATCAGGAAGGTTAGCTTGTGGCGTGACGTAATGAAAAGCACGTGACCATGCCTGCGTTGTTGGCATGTCTGTAAGACACAAGCTTGGCCCCAACCCCAGGATGACTAGATGGTCCTAGTCACAGCGACGAACGAACAAGATACATACAGGTATTCACGTTACTAGGAAACAAACTTTACCGATATTGTGTTGAATTTACAGATCATTTGCATTACTGAAAGTGTTACAAAACAGTGTTTTCAATAAACGGAATAGTCTAAAATACACAATAGCAAAATTGGCCTTCGGGTAATTCCTTGGCTAACATTGGTACAGCATATACACTACCGTATTTGCCTATATATAAACTTTCAGATGATGTGCAGGTTGTTATATCAGTAATCGGGATCAGTTATTAAGTATTTTATTTAAGTATCCAACGTAAAGCAAGCTAAATATCTACTCCAACATGTGATTACGTGTTTTGAAACTAATATGCACTCACCGATACTTGGAGGAAGAGATTCTAGATGATTATGGCTGATGTCCAGATACTTCAAGTCTTTCAGTTTACCAATAGAACGCGGAAGTGATTCTATGTAATTATTCGACACGTTTACTTCTCGCAACTTACTTAGGTTAACGAATGAAACTGGCAAACATTTCAACTGATTATTTTTAGCATTAAGAAATTGAAGGTTTACCAAACCACCGATAGATTCGGGGAAGTCTAATATTTTGTTCATAGACATATTAATTTCTTGTAAGTTTTTGAGTTTGCCTATGTCGATCGGTAAGTTGGTCAGTTTGTTTCTGTCTATATGCAGCATTTTCAGAGATTTTAATTTACCTATGCTTGAAGGTATTTCCACAATTTCGTTTTTTGATAAATCTAATGTTCGAAGCTCAACTAGCATCCCTATCTCCATTGATACACTGAGTAATTTGTTGTCACTTACACGTAGTGACTGCAAACGCTTCAAGTTTCCTAATGTAATCGGAAGTTCTGTTAATTGGTTCTGTGATAGGTTCAGGTCTGTCAGGTGAACAAGTTGTCCCACCTCACATGGTATGGTGGATAACATGTTATAATGGAGATCAAGTTCTTGTAATGCGCATAAATTTAAAATAGTTCGTGGGATTTCCTCGATGTTGTTTACCGACAAGTCTAATTTCTGCAAATTGACAAGCTTGCTAATATCAGGCTGCAATTTCCCAATAATTTCATTCCCGTTCATGTTGAGAACGGTTAGTGCCGTGAGTTTATAAAGCGACATCGGAATGTTTTCAATGCAGTTCTCAGACAAATTCAATTCATTAAGTTTCTTTAAATGTGATATTTCAGGCGGCAAAGTTGAAAAGCTATTACATCTGAGATTCAAACGTTCGCAATCTTTGTATTCGGCAATGGATGGAGGAAGAGATGCAAGTTTCATAAATTGCAGTGAAATATCTGTAGTCTGCTTGTCGGGGAAGCTTGTTAGCAGGTCCATGGTGACTGTAAATGAAAATTACATAAATTACATAAATTTACATAAATTACATAAATTTAGACCATAACTTTATGCACGTGTATCAATGTATACAAGACATATCAGATGCATACCACATATCCTATCCCATTCTATGGCATATACGTTAATTTCTGAGGTAACGAGTGAAACATATATGTTATCTAAAGGAATACAATGTGATGACACATAACTGAGACTGCTAATTCTGAAACACATTGTATCCCAGTATAACAAAACGAATTAACAGCTTAATTTGCGTTATGAGTCATTGCATTCCAGAAACATACCTGTTAATAAATTATTCGAAATACCTAACTCAATCATGTTATAATTATATATATATTTAGTATTAATTATATTAGGTACATATATATTTGTATCGTGTATACTAGTTAATTGCGGAGTATGAGAATTGCATACCCCACTAACGGTAGCACTTGTTCATGGTTGTAGTAATAGTAATCATTCTCTGTTTAGTACCGGGAATGTCGCGTGGGGACGTTTACAAACGTTAACTGCCCTTCGCTGAAATGCCTGATATAGAATACTAACAAATTATGCCTGTGGACTGTCGATAGTCTAGCAGTTAGGTCATAATGCTTATTTGTTTTTTTCAACAAAATAATACTTTCTTGAATTTGCTTATATCATTGTTTATGTTTAGATCGGTTACATTTTCACTCTGAAAACTGGTCACATAGAAAAATGTGAAAGACAAAATCGATCATAAAAATAAGGTGAAAATCGAAACGCGGCTAAAAATGTAACGCTTGGATTATTAAAGATCAATACATATGGGCTTTTATAAATTCCGAATGCTTGGCAACAAAGAAAGCGTTCATACTTAATCCACATAGTAAAATATAACAAAGCGACTGCATACAGTTGTACGGCCAACCAGTAGCTTGGCTGGGAGGAATAAATGCTTGACTGACGTTACACAATGGTTCAGTACTAGAAATGCTTTGATCGGTATTCTTCTGCTCAGACAGTATTTTAAGTATACACTTTTTTGTCCGCGTACTGACGCTTTAAATCATCTACACATGTCGCAGAAATCACGATATTGTCAATTATTCTACCACACATATCTCAATTCGTGTGCGTCAAGCGTGTTTACTTGAATTTGTAAACAGCGTGTGCAAAGTAACGTTGGCAATAATATGACAGACCCCCCCCCCCCCCCCC